ATTACCCCCATTTGATTAGATGGAGAAACCGAGGAGCAGAGGGCTCAGGTCACAGGTAGGCTGCGTCCCTGGAGTCATTCAAAAGGCACTGAGTCCCTTCAGCACCCCCTCCTGCCGCTCCTCAAACTGCAGGGGAAGGTCTCTGAACTGCCCGTTGAGTTCCGCCTTAAAGGGCCAGTGTCTGCAGGAAGCCTTCGTCTCAACTGGACAAGCTTCTGAACTTCGGCGGGGCTGGCCGGGGAAGGCACCCTCGGGACCCGGGACCAGCGGCAGGGTCCAAAAGGAGGCACTGTGCACGCTGGAAGGCGGCCACTTCGACCCGCCTCCGCCCCGCCCCCTCCTACCTGCCTCCGGTGCCTCTCAAGGTCCTCCTGCCTCTTGTCCAGCATGACCCATGGGGTCTTAAAGAGAGACCCACACCAAATAACGCCTAGTCTGCCTAAGGTGACCAGCTCTTCCCAGTTTCCTTGGGACTTTCCCAGGTTTAACACCCTCCTTGCGAGGCAAGGGACAGCTGGTCACCCCTCCCACCCCACCCACCCCAGCACTCAGGCTTAAACTTCTTGGTCAAAGAGGGCAGTCGGTTAGCGCCACCCAGGACTCCCCAGCATCCCCGACAGAGCGAGAAGCCTCGGGGTAGGGGATTTTCTTCGTGATTGAACTCTTCAGCGCTATCCGGTAGGATGGCTCGTAGCTCGAGATACTTACCAGATCTTAAGATAACTTCCAGCTGGTCCTCCAGCCGCTCTGGAAGGCAGGTGCTTTGAGTACCCGCAGGGAGAGGCTGCTCCGAGAAGCTCTGGGAGGTCCAGGAAACCCCCCTCCCTCAGGTGGCAGGTAGGATGGACCCATGCCATCTTTAATTTGATCTAATTTCAATTTAGTTAGATTTACATAACCACAACTCTTTGGGACAGTACAGCTGTACCCAGAAAAATGAACCAGGTATGAAAGAAGAGGCTTTTAACATTGGGGCCTGAGAAATTTCTCCCATAAAGTATCACATTTGAGGGGAATAAAGAAATGTACCCCATGAAGATTCATACGTTTAAAATATATTTTCTATATGTTTTATTTCTAATATGTTTTCTATGTGCATTACGTATATAATGTGTGTGTTAGACCCGGTTGACTAGAGAAATAAATCCAAGGATGCTCATATATGTAAGAGAGGGCTTTATGTCAAGAAGTAATCATATATCAAGTAAACATCAAGTCCATAAGTCCCATACTAGTCCATAAGTCCCTCTTCAGACTCACGCAGCCACATACAATGATGCAGAATGCAGGAAGATCACCTGCCAGTGGGTGCAAAGTCCTGTGCATCCGATGGCAATGGCGGCATCACAGGGCAGCTCCCAGCGTGGGTCTTCAACAGGAGGTGAAAGCAGAGAGAGGTTCCCAGGACCCTCCTTATAAGGCGGCCATGCCCCCAAGGAGACGTCATAAGGCTAGACTCCACCTGATTGGCAGACTAGACTCCACCCCTACACTCATTTATCAAGTTGACCTGAAATTATGTAACTACCATCATGTTTTTATATAATATGCTTCCTATATGATGTATTTATGTATATTTTGTGTTATATTTCTGTTTTCTATATAATGTGTTATATATTTTCTACATATTATATTTTCTAGATAATGTGCTTTCCATATAATGTTTTCTTTTTTTTAAATTTAATCATTTTATTTGGGTATCGTACAACTCTTATCACAAGCCATCCATCCATCCATTGTGTCAAGCACATTTGTACATTTGTCGCCATCATCATTCTCAAAACATTTGTTTTCTATTTGAGCCCTTGGTATCAGCTCCTCATTTTTTTTAATATGCTTTCTCTACAATGTGTTTGGTATCAAATACATTTGTATGCTAGAAATAGAATCTATATACAAGGATAAAATAACATGATAGCACGCATGCTGTGTAATAGCAGTAGGCATTTTCCTAGCCTGTGCTACGACGTGCCAGACACGCTCAGTCCTCAAGGTGCTCCGGAAAGCCCGTATTTTGAGCATCCCCAGGGAGGGAGCGGCTGGACTGGCCCAGGAGCGCTGCAGCACTGGCATGGCCCGCTGTGTGCTGTGTCCCCTGCCCCTCCTTGGGGAATGGAGAGGGGCAGAAATAAGAGAGGAAGCAAGCAGACGGAGGGTACCCAGAGAAGTGGCTGGGTGCCCGCCCCCCACCCCACCGCCACCCCCCAGACTGACTGTGCAGGACTGACGTGACTCATTGGAAAAAGTGAGCAAAGGCGGGCATCAGCCACTGGCACAAGCGTCTTTGGGGTCAGAAACAAGACTGCCGTCTGCCAGTTCCCAGAACGCACCTGCGCGCTCCAGGGCTCCCACCTAGGATAAGACTGCCTCCCTCAAAAAGCCTCCTGTGGGTGTTCCCCGGGAGTCCCCCACCCGGGCACCTTCTTGACCTCACGATGTCATTTCTTGAGCCTGCTAGGAGTGACCCCCCTCCTTACCCTTGGCCCGGACGCCGCTGCCTCGCCGATGACTCCAGGCTCAGAAATAGCCCCGCAGTCAGCTTCCCTGGGCCGCCCCGCCCCCTCCACCCCCCATTCCCAGAAGGTCTGGGCTCTGACTCAGAAGGGGCGAGTCTGAGAGTCAACAGGGACCCGCTGGTCGGTCATTCTGAGGAATTCTTTGTGAAATCCTGGGGCCTAGTGAAGAGTTTAAAAAGGAATGAAAGAAGAAAAAAAAACCTCACTGCCAGACCTTAATGACTCACAGTCATTAGGCAGAGTAGAATGGGCCTGGGTAGCTTTCTGAGACGTAAATCTTTTTCTTTTTGTTTTTTTTTTTAAGGAGGGCCTCGGAGAGCTCCTATCACAGTCCATCCATCCATCCATCCATCCATCCATCCATCCATCCATCCATCCATCCATCCATTGTGTCGAGCACATTGGTACATAGGTTGCCATCATCATTCTCAAAACAGTTTCTTTCTCCTTGAGCCCTTGGTATCAGCTCATTCCCCCCTCCCCACTCTCCCTCCCTCATGAACCCTTGATAATTTATATATATTTTTCTTTTTTTTAATGTCTTACACCAACTGCTGGCTTCTTTCACCCACTTTTCTGTTGTCCATACCCCTGGGAGGGGGTTACATGTTAAGGTGACCAGATTTTAACATTGGTAAAGCGGGACACCATTGATAAAACTCATATCCTGGCGAAATAGCCACATAGCAGCCGAAAACCGTATACCCTAGCTTGTTGTGCATTCTTTCCAAAAATCGGGACATTTTTAAAAAGCCACGAGATGTGGGAAGAATTGTTAAAAAGCGGGACTGTCCCGCCAAAAGCGGGACATCTGGGTCACCTTATTATATGTAGATCATTGTGATCGGTGGCCCCTTTCTCCCCCTACCTTCCCCTTCCCCTCGGTATGGCTACTCTCATGATTGGTTCTGAGGGGTTTATCTGTCCTGAATTCCCTGTGTTTCCAGCTCTTATCTGTACCTGTGTACAAGCTCTGGTCTAGCCAGATTTGTAAGGTAGAACTGGGGTCATGATGGGGATGGGGGGGAGCATTAAAGAACTAGAGGAAAGTTGTATATTTCATGGGTGCTATACTGCACCCTGACTGGATCGTCTCTTCCTTGTAACGCTTCTGTAGGGGGGTGGGGGGTGTCCAAATGTCTACAGATGGGCTTTGAGTCTCTACTCCATGCTCCCCATCTTTCACATTGATATGAGTTTTTGTTTTGGATCTTTGATGTCTGGTACCTGATTGCATCGACACCTCATGATCACACAGGCTGGTGTGCTTCTTCCATGTGGGCTTTGTTGCTTCCCATAAATCTTTACAGGAGCAGAAAAACCTCATCTTTCTCCTTTGGGCAGCTGGTGAATCTGAACAGCTGACCTTGTGGTCTGTGGCCCAGCAGGCAACCACCAGGGCATCCATGCCCTCACTCACTGACATCGAGTCAATACTGACTCAAAGGGACTCTACGGGGCAGGGAAGAGCTGCTGCTGGGGGTTTCCAACACTGTAACTCTTTAGGGGAGTAGAAAGCCTCATCTTTCTCCCGAGGAGCAGCTGGTGGTTTTGAACTGCTGACCTTGTGGTTGGCAGCCCAACATGTAATACCACCAGGGCTCTAGGCCCTGGTAACTCACCTGTCTCTCACCAACGGACAGCTTCACTTAGGGGTGTCCAAACCCTGCTGTCTTATGGCAGCAACTCCGACTCCCAGTGACTCCGGTGTGTGTGTGTGTGTGTGTGT